AATAGCAGCACTTCCCTCCTAACTCCCCCTGTAGGGGCCTGAGTGTCTGGGTCCTCATGGTGCCTGGAACTTTCCCAGACCCACTTTGGTTCTGCTCTGCTCAGGGAACCTCCTGCCACAGAGCTAGTGGATTTATTGTCACTCAAGTGTCAATAAACGGAGAAGTGAAGTGGAAAGTGTTAGTCGCTCAGCTGTGTCTGACTCTCTGTGACAGCACGCACTGTAGCCTCAGGCTCCTCTGTCCACAGAATCCTCCAGGCAAGAATACTGGAGTGGGTAGCCATTCCCTTCTCCAGGGGATCTTCTCAACTGGGGAACGAACCTGAACTGCAGGCAGATTCTTTACCATCTAAGCCACCAGCGAAGCCCTAATAAACGGTAACTGACATTATATCCAACATAAAGTATGCACATTTTGAAGGGATAAAAACTCTTATCCAAAAGGCATGAATCTCTAGAAGTTTAACTCAGTCATCACGATTCAGGAGAGCTGGGAGACACACACACACACAAAAACAGGTCTCAGCACACCCTTCCTGTCACATCACATACACAAGACTGTCTCACTTAAACCAAGAAAGCCCTGGGCAGAGGAACAAACCCAGTTCCTTGGAGGGGCTAGAATGTCAGGCTCAATGAAAGACTGTAAACTGCTTATTTACATATCACATAAGATGAGCTCCATGTACCTGGAGCCAAAGGGCCTTAGTAATGTAGAAAACTCAAACTGTTCATTCTGGACATTAGAATATACAGAGACCAAAAATGCCTGACTCCACAAAAGACACCGTCTGAAACGTGTTTCCTGTCACAGCCACCTGCCTTTTCATAAGGGTTCTGGGTTCTGTCTCATTAAACAGAAGAGTTGATTCAGTTGGGTCCATCTAATTATTCTTATTAAAATATGTAACCATAATATTTTAATTGTAAATTAAAGCTGCATGCATGAATGAATCTGAATTCATTTTAATTTTACAATGGCCCAGTGCCAAGGCCTTTTTATGGGGAAGATCCATCAGCACAGATACTGCTCTCGTGGGAATTCAAACCAATGTGCAAATGGAACATGTTTAACTAACAAGGGAGCCTCTCCCTCCCTGCTCTCCTCTCTCTAGATTTATTGCAGTAATAAAGCTATTTTAACGAGAGAGTGCAATTGACTCCCCACTTCCCCCCAACCATCTTTAAAAGAAAAATTTACCAAACTTCTAGGCTGGCACTACCAGTTAGGTGGAACCAAGATGTCAGTCTGGGGCCGTCTGCCTCTTAAACTTTCTTTTTTCTTTTTACCACACTGCATGGCTTGTGGGATCTTAGGTCCCCAACCAGGGATCGAACCCAGGCCCTAGCAGTGAAAGCATGGAGTTCAAACCACTGGACTTCCAGGGAGTTCTCCGGTGTGCATCTTGAACAAGGATGGTAACTAGGTCTCAATTCATGTGCCAACCTCATGATTAATTAGCAACATCTCCTGTGGGCACTGAGTACAAAGTGCTTATACACACACTGCCCCCTGGGTCCGGATTCTAGAATAATTAGGGATACTGCACTCAGTCCTCACATACCCAGTTGTGGGGGAATTGAATTCTTTTCCACTAAACAGCCACCAGCCACTAGGATATTTAAAGTCTCCACCAAAACCTCCTCCAGTGCTAACTGGCACTAACTCCAGGGTGCTGCTGAGATAAAAATACCTTGGTAACTGAGGCTTGAGGAAAGCCTCTTCTTGACTTATCAGCTGAGGCCTGGAAAATAAGGAGGAGTCAGCCGGCTAAGGTGGTGTGAAGGCAGTGGGAAAAACATCTGTGAAAGCGCAGAAGCCCAGGGCTGGTAGAGCAGTAAAGTCTCTGAAATAAGGACTGAGATGGGCACTGGGTGGAGGAAGGATGGGAGACGAGCCTGGGGAAAGAAGCAGGGTAAGATCATCTGGGGCCTTAGAAACCACATTGAGGAATGTGCACTTCATTCTAAGAGCAACGTGTTAGAAACCAGGAAGTCATTCTGACCACATGCAGAAAATGAACTGATATGTGATGAACATGTATGTGCTATAGCACATTGAGAATCTCACTTTGCTGTGCTGGTTTCTTGCTGACAGAGGCCAAAGTAAATTTTTAGACATTATACCTCTTTCTCCTTATGGGTATTTTCCTTTTCAGTTGAAGGACTTTCCAGTTTAGAATTCTTTAACGTTATGCATTAACATTCTGTGTGCTACATGCTCAGTCATGTCCAACCCTTTGTAACCCCATGGACTGTAGCCCACCAGGCTCCTCTGGCCATGGAATTCTCCAGGCAAAATACTGGAGTGGGTTGCATTTTCCTTCTCCAGGGAATCTTCCCGACCCAGGGATTGAACCCAGGTCTCCTGAATTACAAGTGGTCTCTTCACTGACTGAGCCACCAGAGAAACATTAATTTTATAATATCACTAAGGTTATGTTATATAACCTTAATGTTATAATATGACATGATTATTTATAATAAAGGACTTTCACAAGGTCAATAAAATGCTTTCTTTGTGTAGTTGGTTAAAATTTGTGTCTAGTTTTTATGAATTGAAATGAACTAAAAATTAACATCAAGTGATTAAACCAGCCAAGTCAAAAAGAAAAAGAAACGCTTCTTCTAATTGGAAAAAAAAAGTCTCTGTTGCTTTCATGGGGAGCTTTGCCCCCCAAGAGAATAATTTTTAAAATGTGCCATTGGAATGATGCTGGCTGTCAACACAGCCCTGCTCCCTTGGCATAGCCTGCCCAGGGCCCAGGCCGATACAGGTGTGTAGTGAAGCATTCAGCTTACCTGAAGGGAGGTCTGGCCTCTGCCTCTGACTACTGGGAGGTGATCTCTAGGCCCCCAGAATGTCCTGACTGACAAGAGTATCTTTTTTTGCCTGGGCTTTGACCATTGAACAGTCTAACAATGTGAATATATTGGAGGAGGCTTAAGGTCACGCTCTATGAGCTATGACCTCTGGAGAAACTGGAGACTAAAGGTATTAGCCTGATCCCAGGAGGACTGGACACTAAAGACTGGCCACGCAGGCAGGATGTCGTTGTTGTTGTTCAGTTGCTAAGTCGTGTCTGACTCTGGGACCCCATGGACTGTAGCACGCCAGGCCTCCCTGTCCTCCACTATCTCCTGGAGTTTGTGCAAGTCCATGTCCATTAAGTCAGTGATACTACCTAACCATCTCACCCTCTGCCGCCCTCTTCTCCTGCCTTCAATCTTTCCCAGCATCAGGGTCTTTTCCAATGAGTTGGCTCTCTGAATCAGGTGGCCAAAGTATTGGAGCTTCAGCATCAGTCCTTCCAAGGAATATTGAGGGTTGATCTCCTTTAGGATTGAGATCAATATCTGAATATCCTGGTTTGATCTCCTTGCAGTCCAAGGGACTCTCGAGAGTCTTCTCCAGCAGGCAGGAGGAGCCTAAGAGAGATCGCTGGACACCAAAGCCTCCGGGGAGCTTCTCTTAGGCATCATCATACAGAGAAGAGCTACTGTCACACCCAGCAGCTCTGCGTGTGGACCCCTCCCCAGCCTGAGCCTCTGTTCAGCTGATCCTAACTGGTATCCTTGCTCTGTAATAAACTATAACCATGAATGTAACTGCTCTCAGTGAGTTCTGAGAGTCTTTCTTGTGAATAATCAAAACTGAAGCTGGTCTGGGGAACCCCTGAACGTGAAATCACTACTGGAAGTGACAGCAGTGTGAGGACTTCAGTTTGGCCAGCTTCACAGAGGTGTTTCCTGAAGCAAGCAGCTTGGTCCCAGTACTGTTTAATACAAGGACAAGTAAAAAGCATCCCTGGTCACGGCATTGTGTGGAGCTCACTCTGTGAGGATGTCAGGGAGACTGACTGGAAAGGGATACAGGTACCTTCTGGGGTGCTGGAAGCATCCATACCTTGAGCTGAGTGGTGGTTACACAGTTGTACACATAAGTGAAAACCTACTGAGCTGCATACATAAGATAAGGTACAATTTACATGTGTTATACCAATTTTTAAAAGCTAGAAAACAAAAACACTGCCTTTGAAAATGGGTGGGGGGCAGCCTGGACTACAAGTGTGGAAGTGGGCTGGACTCCTGAAGAGACCCTGAACTCACACATGGGACTGAAAGAACGAATGAGAGATCTAGCAAAGAAGTTTTCTGGGAGGATTCTCTGAAATGGATTGTTTAGGGTTTTACATTTGGGCAAAGCAAACTAAGGACCATGCAGCCGTGTTTGACTGTGTCTGCGACTATGTGTGTATACACGGAACGGTTGTGTGTACACGTGACTGAACCTGGAAAGGTCCAACGAAACGACTGAGTTTCATTCAGCTCACCTAGTAACGACGTGTGTACCACAACAATCAGCAGGGCGGACAAACAGGTTCTTCCAAGGGAGACCGCTCAACCCAGGGCTGGTGTGCTGGTTATCCTCCTACCCAACTCCCAGCCAGACAGCAACTCGGGAAGCTGCAGTTGGAAGCCTGGGAGGCCAGGCTGGGGTGGGGAAGGGACAGCCTTCCCCATATTATGTGAAACCAATCCCAGAGATCTAAGAGGCACAACTCAGGACAAAACTGAAACTAGTGGCAGACAGCTACCCCGGGTGGTTACCAAAGATGGGGGAATTCAGAATTAAGCAACGGAGCAGAAAACCCGAGACAGCAGGCCAAAGGGAGACTGTTCAAAGCAAAGTGGGGAGCAGAGCCTGGAAGAATTCTGAGTCATGGAAAACGATACTTTCAGAAGCAGTGGATGGGAGTGAGCAGAGAGAAAGCTCAGCCACTGGAACCAAAGAATAAGGGCCAAGATGGCTGCAGCAATGCTGGGGAGAGGGGGTGGGGTGCAGGAAGACAAATGCTTTGTTCTTTCACTAGCCCCCGTCTATGATGCCCTATGGTATCTTGACTTTCCTCTACAGATTTACGGTTAGAGAACGAAGAACTAAGCTGGAGTGAGTCAAAGCACGTAAAGTCTTTATTTTCTGATTTCCTAAGACATACCTCTTTCTGCTGTTCCGGAAACATCTTCAACACAGAACACGATCAATCTGAAAAATAAGATACAACACTCGGTGATTTGGAACCCCCATACAGGAGTAGATGGGGCCCTCAAACTCTCACTGAGAACCTGCCCTCTGGGTCTCTGCAAAGCATACCTCTGCCTCCTCCCTGACCCCATCCCCTGCAGACCACACCAGAATGAAGATCAGTCCACCTGGGGATTGGGAGTTTGGGACACGGCAAGACCAAGGCAGCTGGATGATGGCAGGCCTTCAAACTGAAGATCAGGCAGAGTCAGGCCGGAGTCGAAATCTTGGGACAGTCAGAGGGGCTGGCGATGCCAGGGAGCAGAGGGGCCGTGAGGCACAGCAGGGCATGCTGGTTAGCACCGAGATGGAGAGGATGAAAAAGACACCCAGAGATCCCCACTGAGAATGGCCGTGACGGTTTCACTGTCAACCCAGTATCACTAGCAACAGCCCACTCCTTTGACATTTAAACTACTCCAGAGTTCAGATAAGAGAACCTGGTGTGGTGTGGCCTCAAGAAGGACAAAGGTTGGAACCTTGACTCTGACCCACAGTCGATGCAGGTAGCCTATCGGCTGATTCCAGACCCTGCAGGTCCCAAGAATTGTCTATTATTCCTTAAACCTTCATTTATTACAACAGCTCATTGGAGTTAACACCTACTCCCTGCCCCCTCCCGCATCCCTCCCAAAAAATTAAATCCCCTGGCTATAGACATGCACATGTACCTTACAAAGGAAAGGTGGCTATGACTACAAAGTCACAATTTGCCTTTATTTTGATAAAGTACGTCTGACCTTATTTTTCCAGATGATTATCATCCACAAGTATTTCCTGAATCTCTAAAAACGTCCCTGGAACCCTAGGGAGTACAAGGAAGCAAGAACACCAGCTCTGGCCTCCAGTCCCACGTGGTGCTGGGGAGGAGAGAACCCAGAGCAGGCAGAGGAAAGAGCTCCCGCAGGAGGCGAGCAAACCTAAATGGGGAGGTAGGCGAGTGTTGCCTGGGAAGGTTTTACTGAGAAAGTACTGAAGCTGAGGCCGAAAGGGTGGTGTGATTTAGCCCAGAAGGAAACAGAAAAAAGGCATTTTAAGCAGAGGGACTGGGACAAGCAAAGGGGCAGAGGCTGGAAGGAGGAGCAGCTCAAAGAGTTACAGTTATTGAAAGAATCTCTGCATCACCTGAGAAGTAGGCCATGGGTTGCATCCATCTGGGGATTTGGCTGAAACAATGACTGGGCGGGTTCTTGACCCCTTCCAGATCCTCCTGCCAAGTCCCACTCCTCTTTCACAATGCTGCTCAGAAATCACCTACCAGCTCTTGCCCCAGCTCTTGGCCCCCATTACACAGTGAGTTATGCGATTCCCTGCTGGCATTAACTCATTTGCATCACAACCTTTGTATATTCTCTGTCTCCCCAACTGACCGAATTTCTCCAACAAAGCATTCTGTGTTTCCTTGTGTAAACTTCACAGCTAGCCTGTGAACGAGCTTTAAATGTCCTTACTTTACAGGGCTTCCCTGGTGGCTCAGAGGGTAAAGAATCTGCCTGCGATGAAGGAGACCTGGGTTGGGGAGATTCCCCTGGAGAGGGAAATCGCAATCCACTCCAGAATTCTTGCCTGGAGAATTCCATGGACAGAGGAGTCTGGTGGGCTACAGTCCATGGGGTCACATAGAGCTGGACATGGATGAACGACTAAGCACACACTTTACAGGTAAGAAAACAGAAGATCAGAGGGATTAACTTGCCCCAGGTCACAAAGGAAGGGAGAGACGGCAAATCCACTTCCCAACCCTTGTCTTCCCATTGCCCAAGGCTGCCTTCATAACTGTGTGATGCAGACAAATGGTTCAAAGTTTGGGTCTTAATTTAATTCTCTCCAAAGGACTTGAGTTTTCCAACCTCTCCCAGCCAAGGCAGAGGGACTCTGCAATTCCCATGGGGCACTGGAGTCAAACTGTAAAAACAGGAAGCTGAGAAGTTTAAACCTGTTCCAAAACATCACAGAGAACACATGGTCAAGCTTTAATATTTTAAATCTGGATAGTGGGATGGGGGTGGGGTTAGAAGGGCAAAGAGCTTTATTTTCCACTGAAACACTTTCATATTGTTTGAATTTTTCCATAATTTTACACTTTATGAAGTAATAGTCATTTAAAAATAAACACTATAATTCTATCAGAAGTGTTAAAAAAAGAGATGACAGGCCCAACATGGAGACACTTGTGCTCAAACCAAGACTTAATTCCTAACCAGTCTGCCATTACAAGGCTGCCCAGGTGCTGTTAGCAGTAAAAAAAAATAAACCCGCCTGCCAATGCAGGAGACACAGGAGACTCGGGTTTGATCCCTGGGTCAGGAAGATCCCCTGAAGGAGTAAATGGCAACTCACTCCAGTATTCTTGCCTGGAGAATCCCATGGACAGAGGAGCCTGGCGGGCTACAGTCCATGCCATTACAACCTTTCCCAAGATTGCAATCCTAATCAGTGTGGAATTTTCTAGTTAGCACCAATGAGGTCACTCTTTTGATCCCCCAAAGGAAGATGAGGTAATCCCTTCTGTCCCCCACAGGGAGGTTACCTAAGCCAGAAATAATCCTTTTGTTTGTTTATAGCTTCTTTGTCTTGCCTTTGAAAACCTCTCCCTCTCTGCAAGCCTCTGGAGCTCCTCTCTGCTCGCTGGATGGAATGCTGACAGATTCATGAATCGTTCAATATGCAAATTAGATCTGTAAAATCTATCAATACTTGGTTGCATTTTTGTTATTCTACAGAAGAAATAATGACTCAAACACAAATTATAGAAGTTGTCACTTCATGTTAAATAAATAACAGATTCAAATATAGGAAGAGATGCTACCTTTATAACACATTACACATCAATAAAGTGGGGGGGGAAAAGAAAATTATATACTTTTAAAAAGAAAATAAAACAATGTATTCAATTACTTTTATTATTTCCCCTTGGGGGGGGGGACACAACAGCTCAGTTAATTTCACTTTCTGTATTTGTTTCATTTCCTCCTACAATGTTCAGCAAGTTTTCTATTCAAATTAAAAAAAAAAATCGCTGACTTCTTACTTTCATCTATTTAAGGATACACCATCAGTGGGGTTATTTAAAATGAAAGGTTCAATATAGTGCCAGTTTTTCCCAGAGCAACTCTCGTTGGCACCTACTGGCATCCTTTGCAGGCCTGTGGTGGGGACTGCGGGTGGGGGCAGGGCTGGAGGGCACAGTCCTCCCTTCCTCTGGGGGAAGTTCTTGGCCAGGGTCTTGCTGCAGGGGGTGGCTCTACAGGTATCCTGTTTTCTGTCACCTGGGGGGGCCCTCCTCAGTTACAGAAAACAGCATCAGGGATGGGCATCGGACTCCAGAGAAGCCCATCCCTAGGTTAGCCAGGTGCCAGAGGTGTGGCCTGGCATGAAAAGGAGGGAGGGCTGGCATCAGCTTCCTCTCAGCATCTGGACTAGGACTTGGACCAAGACTTGGCAGCTCTCTGGGTCCTGAAGCTCAGAAATGATGGTGAGAACATGGAGAGAGAACAGAGCTTTAACTGTAGTTCTGCAGACCAGAGCTTATGCTTAAACAGAAGTCATGATGGAGATAAAACATCTCTTGAGATATGACAGAAACTGGCCACCAGAAAAGCCAGGTTGCCGAAGCCAACTTCAGCGGCTGCTGGCACCGTGACTCAGAGGTCTTACTTCCCCAGTGGCTTAAGTGCGCAGCGTCTCCTGGGCTCCCACGCACAGCATCCTTACGATAAACAACCACGTGCTCGAGCTTGAGGGAGATACCAATTCATGTAACCAAAAGAGCTCAACAAAAAAGAAAAAAGAGCTGCACCAAAACATGAGAATGGACAGAAGTGGGGCGTCCATGCACTTTTGAGGAGGGCCAGCAAGGTGTGCATAACCATCCGTAAACCAGACCCATGTTGTTCTTCCTCAGTCTGATCTTAGAGCTTTATTTATAAAGGCAAAACTCAAATGGAAAAATAAGATGAAATGTGAAATTCAGTTAAAGTCAAAAATTATCATTTTTGGTCTGGAAAGACAAAATTACCCATTAAATTTTCCCAGTACTCATCACACAAATACTCACAAATATATTAAAAAGGGTTGCTGTTCAGTCGCTAAGTCATGTTCGACTCTTTGCAACCCCGTGGACTGCAGCACGCTAGGCTTCCTTGTCCTTCACCATCTCCCAGAAGTTGCTCAAACTCATGCCCATTGAGCTGTTGATGCCATCCAACCCTCTCATCCTCTGTCACCCCCTTCTCCTTCTGTCCTCAATCTTTCCTAGCATCAGAGTCTTTTCTAATGAGTCTAAAGAGAATGAGCAGTCTAAAAAAAGTACTGGTTCATAACACATAAAATAATGAAACTACTAAGTTGCTAATCTCTAAGACATAATCTCTACAATGGGTTCCATTTATGGTCATAAGAATGACACTAGGCCAAATTTAGGGTCTGAAATCCAGAAACAAGAAAAAATATACATACATATAACATTTTAGCCTCACAACTATTTTGGAGGCCTTTAGGACAAGTGCTACCTTCGACTTACGGATGCTCCAGACACAAGCATGTGCATGACCTCCCCTTGCCTTCATATACATGCTAAGGAGAATCACTGGGGATAGCAAAACAACCTGGATAAACAGAATTCAAGGGGGAAAGCCATATAAAGTAGATGAAGGAGAGAGGAGGTGACCACTAGAGCAGACAAGCAGGTAATACTTACTAACTTGTGCTGTGACATCCTCTCTCTTCAAAACAACCCTAACTTCCCAGATCAAATCCAAAAATACTTTTCACACTTCCCAAATGGTCTCCTTCCTTTTTAATGCTACTAAGTTTCTCCTAATTAGTGATTCATCTGGGCTACTCATTTTTCCCTTTTACAAAAAGCTGATAAATCTCAGAAGTTCGGGGAGGGGTATTAGTAATTTAAATATTTAATGTGAGTTAGTCCAATTGGACTGCATTTATATTAACCAAGAGCGATCAGT